CCTTGTGGCAGCACTGCTCTCATTGGTTTGTCACTTTGGGAAGGCAAGTAAATAACCTCCATTTTATATATAACCAGTTTACACATGGCGCCACTTTTAGTCAATAAATATATATTTAATTTAGAATTTCTCAAAGAAATACCAGGATAAAAAAAAAAATAATTTTCTTACTTTAACTAAAAACATTGCATATTAATAATGACTAGTGACTATCAAAAATATTCAACCAAAAACATTACTTAATTTGGACTGTTTCTCCATAATTTTGATCCAGATTTGCAATTATTTATAGGCAAGTTGGAAAAGAAAAATTAAACAGACTAACTTTATCAGTTGATTACTTAACATTTGTTTGAATGAAGGGTTGCTAAGTATGAATGTGTGTATATATATATATATATATATATATAATACACACAGAAAAGTTCTTGGCTTGATCTACTTCTGAAAATCAATATTTCAATGGCCAAATATTAGAATATGGGAAGTGGGTTGGTCTGGTATTTTTCAACACCATGTGTGAATGCATATATATATATATATATATATATATATATATATATATATATATATAGTTTTAAGGTATGCTATATTTATGGGATAAAGTGCTTGATATCAGAGATAGAGCATATGTAAATACAAAAGTGAACATTGAAGTCAACACTCCGAGACAACGGACTGTTTCATGTTAAACATAATCATCAAGCCTGATGATTGCATTTAGCATGAAACAGTCCACTGCCATGAAGTGTTAACTTCAATTTTCACTTTATATATATAAAATAAAAGTGGACATTGACTTCAATGTCCACTTTTATATTTACATATCCTGTATCTCTGATATTGAGCACTTTATCCCATAAATATAGCATACATTTATATTTCTTCATATATATATATATATATATATATATATGGTGTGTGTGTATGTCTTATATAATATTAGAAAATTGCTATATTATGGGAGAAGAGTACTCACTATCAAAGACAGTTTTTATATATAAAGAGTGTGTGTGTGTGTGTGCAGATATTTGGTAAGTAATTGAAATGCCTTTCATTATTTTTTATTTTTATTTTTTGTAGGTAGATTAAGTGAACTGCTGGAACAATTGTTGGCTATACACAATAAGGATACAGGCCTTGACCGCTTGGTACGAGAATCTGCTCAGGGAAACATAGATAGCGTTAGGGAAATTATCACCAAATATCCAGATAAGGTAAGTCATGGAGACATACATATTTATTTTTCTGTTTTTTCCATTAGTATATATCTGCAAAAATGTTTCTGTCATCAGTTTCCTGTCTGTATAGTTGTCTTTGTTTTATTCTGATATTGTCATTTCACAAGTCCCTGTAACCCATTAGGGTTATAAGAACACCACATGTACTGCTTCCAAAGCAGCATTGGTGTGTCTAGGTGAAGTTAACCTAATGGAGCTATCCTTCTTCAGGCTGGTTTTGAATTCACTTTTTCCTTTTCCTGGACTGGTTGTTAGCTCAAAGCAAAAGAGCCCATACCAAACCCTGCTATTTAACCAATAGTTGTGGGGAGAAGACCTTTCCCAAAGGTATTTGTGTAAAAGGGAATGTAATGATCTCCACTCATCAATTTCCTTTTGAATTGTTAAATGTTACACTGCCTGCACTTCAGCTGACAGTTAAATGCAGTGAAATAGTTTATCGTCTTAAGCAGTTATGAAGATAATTCACCTGCTATGAAATAAGTTATGAATGAAGTAAATTTAATTTATTAACTTGTTTTTTGGATGGGGGAGTTTTAAATCTTTGCATTGCAATTCTGGGTGTTAAAAATAAGGAATCTCTCTTTTGCAAAATAAGTGTTAATATAGAATCAAGAATATGTTGAATATTTATTTGTGGATTATTGTCCTCATCTTTGTTACCATAATGTTTTTACTGTTGTACCCTGTGACCTTTATCAAGTGCTTGTTGATTTGAGTAAACTACAGGGAATTTTAAACTGAATCCTTTATTTAATCTACAGTAGTAGTTTCTTCTTGTTCTACTATCCATGTTTAATGATCTCTAATCTTAGTTCTTATTTAGTACTGCTCAGTTACTCTACTAGGTTATTATCCTGTAGGATGACTAAGTACTGTCTTGGTCTGTTCAGATAGTTACAGTTCAAGCTGATTAAAGCATTTGTTTGTGAATTTGGTAACATAGTAATTGTGAGTTCAATCCTTGGGCTGGGCAGTGTGTTCTGGAACACGGTGGAAACAGAGTGAGCAATAACTGAGCAGTACTAAAAAAAAAACAAAAAAAAACAAGACACGATATCTCTAGACATGGGCAGTGGAATGTGGAATGAGAATGATCTAAGCCCATAGATTGAATAAAGGGTTCAGTTTAACATTCCCTGAAGATTATATGGCTCAACAAGCACACAATTAAGGCAGGAGGGCAAAATGGCCAAAACGTGATAATAACAGCAAAGATGAAGATAATAGTCCAAATATAAATAATGTTAATAATAACTCCTCATCCCAGAAATACAGACAGAAAGAACAATATCAGCTATTTTTCATTCCTATTATCTGTTTGTCTTATCTATTTTATAATTTTCATAGAATATGTGTGTGTATATATATATATATATATATATATATATATATATATATATTTTTTTAAATAGAAAAATTTAGTTACTGTAAATTAATGTCCATTTTGTGAGTTTTTGTATTATTCTTCACCCTACTACACAGTTTTGTGGATTACATTGATTCCTCCAGGGTTAAAATTTTTTATGAAATGTGCGTTTTTTCGGGGTTTTTTTTTTTGTATATTTGCATATTTTTCTTTAACTGTTAGTGACGCTTGCATGCTGATGTTTGCTCATGTGTCCATTACTCTATTCAAGAGGATATTTCCAATACCCAACAGACTTGTGCTTGTTCACACACTCATGTGCGCTCACAAACACATCATTTCCAATATAATTGATTTTCCATTGTATGTTTTTCATTATGTATTTTTTGTTTGTTATATATTTTTTGTATTATAATTATTACTTTTCATTGTTGTTCTTTTTTATATATATATATATATATATATATATATATAATCTCCATACAGATATATATTATGTTTCAAATATGAATTATTGTTACTAATTTGTATTATTTAAATTTAATTTAGATATATTCTAATATTTATATATATATATACATACATACACACACACACACACACACGCTTAAATTCACCTTCATTCTTGTCATGCACCAGCGGCTTAGGGGTAGAATCTCTGATTGACACCAATTCAGCCAGGTTTCGATCCTAACTAGAGGCAACCGGATACCTAGCCACACTGATGAGCTGTGATACAACAAAACAGGCTACCTGTGGATGGTTGGTTATATATATATATATATATATATATATATATATATATATATATATGTGTTTAACATTCTTTTTTTATAGATACAAATATTTAAGTAAATGCTCTGTAAACAGTATTAAACATTTACTGGCCTGAATGTCCGAGAAATTTTCATAGAAAATATTCGTCCTCCGAATATATATATATATATTAAAATTAGTTATTTGTTAAAATTTATGAAAATTATGTTGGTGTTTAAGTTACAAAATAGATATTTATTAAAATATCTACATTTAACATTTATTCAATTCTTTTGTTTAATAATTTGATTTGATTGTTAGAATTTATTATATCTATAATTTTTCTTTTGGGCATAATTTACATATTCTATTTTTACTGTTATTTGGAGGGGCTTTTTTTATTTCCAATTTGATTTTTGTAGGTATATTTTTTTCTTTTTGAGTCCATATATGTTTAGATAATGTTTTTGTTTGCATACCTATTTAAATTTGAATGATATTTTGTGATTGTTAAATCTTTTCTTAAATGTTGCTGTAGTAGCTCCTATATACATTTTTTGTTCTGGATTAATATTATTTGATATATATATTATCTTATTGGTCAAACATTTATTATCAAGTGGGCAGTTATTTTTATTTCAGCAATTACAATTGTTATTATTCTGATTTATATTTATTGTAATTGTTACTATTTTTATTTAATATTTTTTATTATGTTTATTATATTCTCCATATTATTCATACAACTGTAGCTGATTTTTATTGTTTTCTTATTAATGATTTTTGATAGTTTACTATTTTTAGGAAAGTGTTTGTCAATTAATTTAAAGAATAATTTTCCTATTTTTGTTTTTATTGTATCGTCATGAGATGGGTTAAATCAAATTATATTTCTTTTTCTTTTATTTCTGTATGTATTATTTCTAGTTATATATTCTAATTTATTCATATATCCACCTTTTCTTAATGCTAATATACTTTTTTATTTTCATTAAATATTTTTGCATTTCTAGAATTAGTAGTGATTCTTTTATTAATAGATATTGGTATATGTTTGAATACATTAGGTGGGTGATTTGAGTTTTTGTTTATGTATATAGGATTATTATTTGTTTTGTTACATGGCTTGTATGTATTGTTATTTAAATTAAATGTAATTATCTAGAAAAATTACTATTTTTAAGCTAGATTTTATGTCTGTTATAAATCCTACTTTTTTAAATATTTCTATTATTTGTTTTCTTATTTTTTCTATTTTTCTGGTATCGCAATTACTTATACTTATTAGACCATCATCTCTATATAAACCTATATCTTTTTTATTATTTATATCTGATAAATTATGTATAATGTATATTCTTATTATTTCACATAAAAGCACCATCACAACTCCCTATTGTTACACCAAAGTTATTGTTATTGTGCTTTTTAGCCATATTTTATTGTTGTAGTATAATAGTGATTTTCTACAATGTTTAATTATATGTAATACTTCTTCTTGAATGTCCATGTCTTGTTTAGCTAAATCTAACTCTTTATTTAATATATTCTCAGTAATTGATGGATAAAAATCTTTGATGTCTACTTGTAAAAAAGTGCAATTATGTTTGTTTGTAATATTGTTGAACCAGCTTATGGTTTCTTTTGTATTCATCCATTAATTTATATTTAATATTTATCTTAATTTTGAACACATCCTTTCAATTATTTGTTATCTAATTTTTCCTATATTACTTTTTGTAACATTTAATAATCTACATGTAGGTTTATTTAAAAAATTATCTTCATGATCTTTTAGTTTAATAAATGGTTCTACTTTGGTTAACTGTTTTATTCTGTTATTTAATTTTAATTTTGTTGCAATAATTTTTGCTTCTTATATTCTGTTTCATTGTTAGTTACTCTGTCAGGAGAATCTAAAATATACTAACTGCATTCTGTACAGAAGATTAAAACTTCTCTCCTAAAAGAAAAAAGATGAGAGCCCCTACTGGATGGCTATTTGTAGAAAGTATAAACCTGCCCATTTGTTTGCCTATAGGCTCAAGTATAAACCTGATTACTTGTTTACCTATAGGCTCAAGTATAAACTTGCCCACTTCTTTGACTATAGTCTCAAGTAAAAAACTGCCTGTTTATTTGACTATAGGCTCAAATATAAACTTGCTCACTTGTTTGCCTGTAAGCTCAAGAATAAACCTGCCTACTTGTTTACATATAGAGTCAAGAATAATAAAAAAACAAATATCCAGCAAGGGATGCTATGTCAAAATTTCTCGAATATTGCCTAACAGGAGTTGATCAAATAAAAACAGTCAAATTTATGAGCTATGAGAATTTGAAGGTATTCTTTGAATTGTCATTTCATTTACAATAATTCTTTGCTTTACTACAGGTCGACCAGAAGAGTTCAGGCAAGACTGCTTTACAGGTAGCCAGTCACCAGGGCCATAAAGAGATTATTTTGTTGTTGCTGGAGGCTGGAGCCAATTTGGAGTTGCAGGATGAAGATGGAGACACAGCATTACACTATTCAGCTTTTGGGTTAGTTTTGCAACTTTATTGTCAAAAAATGGAACACATAATGAATTTGTATTTTACCATTTTTATTGATCAGATTTGTTTCTGGATTATTTCATTTGATTTTGATCATATTTAATTCAGAGTTTTATCTTAAAAATATCCATCATATACAGGGTGTTCTAAAGTTGCATTACCATTGATAACCTTGTAAATTTTGTATTTATTTACCAAATAGAATCATGTTTCTGTATGTGACAATATATTATTAATAAATTTTATTGGTCAAATTATGGAAGATGATTTTATGCAAATTTTCTCTGGTTGCTATTTCACAAGTGTACTACTAATTTCTACCAATTGTTGTGTGACATTTGGAACACCCTGTATCTACTCCTCCACACACACTTTTTGTTTATTTTATTAACTATTTGTTAATTTCTAATTGAATATTTGTGTTTGATATGATAGATTTATATAAAGCAGTTACCAAAAGCAAATCATTTAACATCAAAGTCTTTCATTGTTTTATTGCTGTTTCCATGGAAAGTGTTCAAACGAACCACATTTGTTAGTTTCACCAGTTCTAACCTTCATGACTATGCCATGCACATTGTAGTGAAACCACCCTATTTCTCTTCCTATTCTGTTTGGTGAGATGTAAGTTCAATTCAAGCAGCTTCTCCCCACAAGCTATTGCTTTGTGGAACTGAATCCCAAGAGGATGCTTCCCCAATCTCTACATTCAACATTTTGAAGTTCAATGGATTAACCGTTATCTTTCCCATATATCTGCATAAACTTTGCCACTTACTCTGTGACCCTCTACCTTGAGTGGTTCTCTGGCCTTGTACATCATTGTAAAAAAAGATGAAGTCTGGGTATGGATCTGAATAATTTAGAAAAGGATGATATTTTGTTAGAACTACAAAAATTAACCTTTTAGCTTTTCTGCTCATTTGCAATCTTTCTCACTTAAGTGATCATGTTTGGTTGTCTCCATTTGATATCAAATCATTTCCCATTTATAGAATTTATATGATAATTAGAAATTACTAGCAGAACCCATGAAAATTTCATGGTTTTTCTATTCTGATTTTTTGAAGAATCATAATTCTTAATTTAATGATTTAATACATCCTTTGCCGTCCTGAGTATGACAATAAACTGCATCCATGTCCTGGGTAAGACAATAAACTACGTCCAACAGCAAGGCCTCTGATCTGGAGGTTTTGAGGAGCGTGGAACCACCTCTTAATTGCTGGTGTTCCCAGGTCCACCCTTACCCGGGGTGGTAGCACCTGTTAGGGTCCCAGCTATGGGCAAATAGTTAACACCGAAACTGAGGTAAAAGGCATTATAAAATATTACCAGCAATACGTTTTTGAAGGAAAAACTATTACCAGCAACATGTTTTTGAAAAAAATGTTACCAGGTATACATTTTTGAAAAAATAATATTACCATCTATATGTTTTTGAAAAAATAATATTACCAGGTATATGTTTTTGAAAAAAATAATATTGCCAGCTATACGTTTTTGAAAAAACATTACCAACTATACATTTTTGAGGAAAAAAAATATTAACAGAAGTAGGTTTTTGACAAAACAAAAATATTACCAGGAAAAAAAAAAGAAAAGTTGTCGACATTAAATGACTCATTGATGTTGGTAAAACAAAACAAACAATACATTCTTTGCATGTTTGATGATGTTAAAATACTCATGCGACAGTAGCCAAGAAGATTAATGTGATACTTTGTGAATTTGGTAGCATAGTAATTGTGAGTTCAATCCCTGGGCTGGGTAGTATAGTCTCAGTGGAAACGGAGCAAGTAATAACTGAGCAGTACTAAAAAATAGAAACGAGAAGCAGGCAAGATATCCCTAGATATGGACAATGGAATGAGAACAATCTACCCTTGTAAAGTAAATAAGTGTTCAGTTCGAAATTCCCTGTAGGTTACAAGGATAGACAAGCATCTGATGAAGGCCAGAGGCTACGACGACTAAAATGATGTCGTGATAACAACAAAGATTGGGACAATAATCCGCATGTAAAGAATATAAATAATGATAATGCCTCATCCCAGGAATTAAGAGAAAGAAAAAAAAAATGATGTAAAAATACAAAAACAGTAATATAAAAAAAAAAACATTGGTTTTCTTATGATCCCAGAATTAAATATTTAGGATTGTGATTGACTATTTTAATTTGTAACTATACTTTAATGTTAAATTATTTTTAAAATTTACTTTTGATACAGTCATTTCCCAATGAAAATGTTAAATTATTAAAAGCTGATTTATAAATATGGGTGAATTATTAGTTGAATATTATTGGTTTTGTTATAAATATTTTTAGGTAAATTTTAAATGTTTGTGACGTGCCAGAAAATAGAATAATTTATTTTTAGTCACATCTTGTAGCTCATATCCTAGGAAGGATGCTGTATATGACAAAAACAATATAACCTATTGGATAAAGGTTTCAATATTCTCTGAAAATTGCTGGATATGACTTTTTGAAGAATTCTGTGGTTGAAATATTGTAATAAACAGAACCAAAATAAATTTGTAAGTAGAAAACAATTATTCTTTTATGTTGTCAGTTTATATTGGTTACTGTTAAGTTCCTGGAAATGTCAAGGAATATAATAATTGATGTTTAGTTTATTTAGTTGATAATTTATCTTAATCCTGGCACTTTGAGGATTTTTAAAAAAATGTTAACTTAATTATCAGGGGAAATATCAAGATTTCTATTTTTTTAGATACAATGTCGATATAGTTTGAATTACATTTTTATAGTTTGAATTACATTTTGAGTTTTGAATTCAATCTAATGGAATAATAGAATGTGTGTGTTTAGCCTGTAGGATGTGACATATAGTATAATAGATATCAGCTCAAAACTTGAAATCAGAGAGCTGATTTCAAATTCCAGTCAGGTTTTTCTGTTCACTTATGTGCAAATACCCTTGGAGAAAGGTATGAATCCATCCCTTCTCCTCCCCAGTATGGGTTGAAAAGCAGCACACATTGGGTATTATAGCCTTGGTTGGAAACCAGTCTACCACAGAAACAAATGACAACATGCTTCAGGAAAATCTGCCTAGTCAGTCATGAATTGAAAGAGACATGATCACTCAAGTGTGCATCCCATAACTGATATATGCCTCTATCATGTGCAATATCTTTTTTAGTCATATCAGTTGTTAATTTCAGTAAATGATCATAGTTTTTTTGTTACGTAATAATATGGATGTACATATTGCGTAATGTATAGTGGCTCAAAATGAGAAATTGGGGGAAAGTCCAGGTCAAATTCCAGTCAAGTTCATTATATTCACTTACGTGCAATTACGCTTGGGGACCGTATGAATCCATCTCTTTTCCTGACACTGATTCGTTAAATAGTAGAACTTGTATCTGGAAAGATCCTTGTTATCTCCTAAAGAATTATTAATGCAATATTCACTTGCAAAAGGTAAAAAAAAGGATTATTCTTATGGCACCAAAAATGTTTTGGCTGTACCTCTCCTGAGGTTTTTGAACAGGAGTAGTGGTTGATCCCTTGTTTCCTGTTTAGGGTTGGGTTTCCAGTTCTTTATAAAGTCAACTTCAACTCTATACTTCTAACATCTCCACCTAAACTCTGACATTTATATTGGATTTCTGGTTCTTTCTAAAAATCTTTTCCTTCTCTTTCACTTCCAGCAGCTCCTTGTGTCTTAGTTTCATTATCACCTTGCTTGGGGTGAATTGATTTAAAAATAAAAAATAACCCATAAGGATTGATAAGTCATAAAAAAAAGAAAACAATCAATTAATAGATAATATGATTGGGATATATTTTCCCAATCTTAAAAAATACATTGAATCAAAAGATTAGTACCTATTGAAGTCTCATGAAGACATTAAAATTAAAAAAAGAAACTCATATTGCTTGTGTAGAAGTTGAAATGAAAGGGTTAATAAAAAAACATGTGAACCTGTTTTTAACTTTATTGTTCAATTTAATTTAATTTCCTTGTGTGTTATTTTCACATGTCAGTATCTTTTTTGTTTCAGCAACCAACCAAGTGTAATGGAACTTTTGTTGACCAAAGGAGCCAACATCAATGCATTGAATAAGGGTGGATGCAACACTCTGCATGTGGCTGTAAATAAGCAATATGTAAAGTGTGTTAGGGTCTTACTCGAGCCTCCAGGTAGGGTCAACATCCAGGTTAGTCAACAGGTAAGTTAGTCAACAGTTAGGCTGACAAATGATTTTAATGTTTTTCATTTTGAGTAGCTATTTTGTCAATTATGTTGTGCTTAATATACAGGGTAGGTGAATTACTTTGACCTTCAAAACTCAAAATAGAGCTTTCAGTAAAAAAAAAGATATTAATAAAACTCAGAGATAATATCAAAAGATTTATTCAATGTTATTCTTGCAGATAGAGGTCTGAGCTAAAAAAGAGGGCCAGAAATCTGTAAACTTTGCAGCAATTCTGTACCTTCTTGATTTGTGGCTGAAAGCAGTCTTGGATCCTGACACATTTGGCATCTGGGTAGATGGCTTTGAGTCATATCAAAACATGTTACCCCAAGACCTTATAACAGGCATCAGCACTCAACTTTTTATAGAAGAATGGGAGTATCTTTTTACCATCAGATATTCAATTTTTATATATATATATATATATATATATATATATATATTTAGTTTATGCAAACTTAGGTAATCCGTATGGGTAGACCCGAGGAGGATGATATCCAGAGAGCTCAATGTAAAATTCAGAGCAGATATGTTTATTCAAACAAATATATATATATACACATATGCTCTATCTCTGATATTGAGCATTTTATCCCATAAACATAGCACACCTTAAAACTATATTTCTTCGTGTATATATATATATATATATATGTGTGTGTATATATATATAATTCTGAGGAGGCACGGTGGAGTAATGGATAGTGGCTTGGATTGAGAAATTGGAGAGCCGAGTTTGGATTCCAGTCAAATCCATTGCATTCACTTACGTGCTAATACCCTTGGGAAAGGTGTGAATCCTCCTCTTCTGAAGGACAACTCTGAATTCAAAAACATCTCTGTATTCGGCCTTTCAGAAAGTGTGGATGGTCCTGCCTGAAACCTTCATCACTATAATCAAATCTCGTGTGCTGTTGTCGGGCTGTCGGTTTCCTGGGAACTGATCTGCTTGACCCTCATACATCGAATTCGACAGGGAGAGTCGACTGTATATAATTTTAGAGTACTGTATCCCTTTTGCTTTTTAATACCATTCTTTCTAAACTTTTTGACTTATTATTGTTGCTTTGCCTAGTTTTGTCTTGCATATATATTGTTTGCTTACTATTATTTTCCCTGTTTTTTTTTTATTTCTTTTGTTATCATTTATTGGAAATGTCAATTCCAAAAAATAATAACATAAAGAAAAGAACAGGGCAATTATATATGCAAAACAAAACTAGGCAACAGTAATAAGGCAAAATGTTCATAAAGTAAGAATGATGTTAACATGCAAAAGGGATACAATCAAGTGATTGTAGTGTTCTGACTTCAAGACAACAAAGAACAAAAATATGGCAGATGAGACTAAGAAGTGGACCATTTTATTGGTTAGGAAGAAATCCCAGCATGCATCTGTATTCGGGGAGGGGGCATATTTTTGCTGTCATTCTTAGCAGGATTGGAACCAACATACATTTTTCATTTTTTTTCTTTTGTGTTGTTTAAACAACCTTGTCTATAAATGAATTGCTTTACAAATAATTGTGTACTAAGTTCAAATTTTTTGATCAGTTATTTTTTTTAATTGCTTTTTGTAGAGAAAAAAAGAAAATTATCAGTCAAAAATGAAAAATGCTTTATCAAAAAATGAATAAAAGATAAATTTTTTTAAGCTTGGTTCTAATAAATAGAAAAGAAATCCATTTTAATGTAACTAGTAGAATTGGTAGAATTATTAAATACAGTATAAAATAACTTATTTAGTAACTCTTGTTTAATTTTTTTCCTTTCTTTTTTATTGCTTAATCTACATCTGAAGTGGAGTTGCTTAAGATTTAGTCAAATTTGAGTAAAGCTTGACAAGTTGCTTATACAAAATATATACAAAAGATATTTGCTATAACAATGATCCATTTCTATTATAGTAATACTATGTGCCTATATTTGTGTCAGACTGTTTAGCTGAGTAAATGTCTATAATACAGTATATTTTAAGCATCCAAACTTATTAGATTTATTCTTTTCCACCGGACAATTTTAAAATGTAAAGGATGAAAGTAACTCTCCAGCAAAAAAGGAAAGAAAAAAAGAAGCTCAATATTGAAGAAATGTGTTGGGTGATCTTGTTAATATTTTCCTTTTTATTTACATTAACCAAAAAAAATTATCATGGAAGGAATAAAAAGATAATGGAAATAAATTCCAGAATATTAAGAAAATAAATCAAGCTTGTTGTTCATTAATCATAAATATTTGATTCGCAACAAAAGTGCATTTTCAGATTTGCTTTTCTCCTCATTTCAGGATGCCTATGGAGATACAGCTCTCCATGATGCAATTGGTAAAGAGAATAGGCAAATTATTGACCTTTTAATTAATTACCCGGGTGTTGACTTCACATTGCGTAACAACCGAGGCTTCAATGTACTTCACCATGCGGCTCTCAAGGGGAATAACTTGTAAGTACTTGTAGTGTAGGGATGTGTTTCTTTTTTCTTTTTTGTTATTCTGCTATTAAAAAAGAAAAGAAAAAAAAAATCAATCTTCTTTCATCAACCTTTGCCCTGTCAGCTGGGGCTTCAGAATACTCAACTGCACCTCTGCAGATAGGTACCCTCCCATCCCCGTACTCCCCACCCCAATGAAATCACCTGTTGGCCGTGGGTAGTGGTGACCTGTGATGCCCGGAGATAGAATCCTGGTGATTGAGGGCTTCAGGAGGAAGGATGGTTTAACTCCTGAATCCCAACGCGTCACTTTACCCTTTACCTGGGCTAGACAGGTGGTTGAAGAAGCCTGATCTAATCAGCCGGCTGGTCATGCCAAGCCCTAATTCAGATTCTTACAAACTCAGTAAAAATCTGAATCAGAAGGCCATGGCTGCAGGGTCAGTCATTCTAAGAAGGGACGATTGTTCCAAACTATGCCTGAGGAAAAAGTTAACTTAGGAACTATGACAGGAGGTTAAACAATTATTACCTCATCATAAATATACTGACTGTATAGACCTGATCTGCTAAGGAAAATGGGATTCTCCTTGGCATTTCCCCTTGTAGGGCTCTGTGGATATTATATGGATACAGAAAGAAAAAACCCAACCTAAAAGACTCTGCATGGAGTCAGATTCTGATCAAGAGCAGGCTGGGGTACCCTTTCTTAGATTCATAATATTAGAATCTAGAGAGGAGGCGCCACTAACTAAATTATCACCATTCCTCAATACAGAGGATTATATCCTATGGTTAATCCTAAGTCAGTAAAAAAACTTAAAAAATGGAACCATCTTGGTAGAAATACAAAATAAAAAACATGCAAGCATCCTGTTAAGGATGAAAAAATTCCATGACATTAAGGTAAAAGCATACCTCCAGAGGTGTAGTTAGTAATAGAGATCTGATCTATCACTTTGTACAATAGAAGAAATTAAAGCAGAGTTTAAAAAAACAAAATGTGACTGACATCAAAATGATATCAATTAAAAAACAAAATCAAATGATAAATACAAACACATATATATTAAGTTTTAATGTTCCGACACCACCATCCGAAATTAAAATTGGATATTTAATAGTCAAAATAAATATATTACAAATCCTAGAAGATGCCACAAATGTCAAAGATATGGCCATTTAAAGGAGTTTTGTACAAGAAATTAAACATGTACAAGATGTGGGGAAATAGGACAAAATCATGATGACACATGTAAAATCAGCCAAAATGTATCAATTGCAATGGAGATTACTGAGCTGATGCTCAAGAATGGAAGGCCTGGGTAAAAGAAAAAGAAATAATAATAAGAAGAAAAATCACTCAAAACGTTACATTCCCAGAGGCAAGAAAACTTAAAGAAACCTCTTTCTCTATACAAAATTATGCAAAAATCACCAAAACATCACCAAATGAAAATATAACCCGACAAAAAACAAAACAGAAACACAATTAACATCATTAATAAATGAATTGCAAAATCTCATTAAAGCCTTAAAAACCAGCATAACAAATATGGAAATATCTCTCACTACGAAACTAAACCATAAGGAAATGAAACATAAATAAGTAAGAAAAAACAGACCAATCTGAATGAGAGAAAAAGACAAAAATCAACCCAAAATAGCCAAACAAGGACAAAGAAGTCTGAAAAATTTGAACAAATGGAAATTGAAATGGATTCTACACCCTCAAAACATCATAAACAGTATGACAGAATAATACAAAAATCTTAAAATGGAAAGGAAATATGGATTCTTAATACAAAAATATAGTCATCTTTAAGATCAAGTCACAAAATTAAAAATAATTACCATTAAAATGGATAAATGGAACACAAACATTATACAATGAAACTGTATACAATAAATGCTGCTTGTGTACGATGTTGAAGAGATTAACGTGGCTGCATGTTGAAGAGCATTTAACATTTATACATTATTGAATCAAGGAAAGACAATGAGAAAATGATTTTTGTTTCAACGATAAAATATATATTAAAATCAACAAATACAAAACAATTTGTGAATATTAAGGAAAAGAAAGTAGTTTCCCTTTATCTGTTAGCTTGAAGAAGATAAAATGTAATTAAGAATGTTTCTTGAATGGAATGTTCAAAGTTGTATGTTGAAATAAAATGTTGCATTCAGAAAAGCATAGTTAATTTAGTTGTGTGTTATTGGTATAACTAACAGGGTGTTGGTTTGTAACTTGGCTTGTTCACAGAAAACAAATAGTGAAATGTAATTCAAGTTCTGTGTCTGAGTGTGTGTAGTGAGTAGAATCAATAATCTGTATAGACGTGTGTGAGTTGCTGGATTCTACTGTCTATTTTTGGAACAAAACACTGTTTATATAACTATTGGTAGGCTCCAGGAAACAACATGGAAAGTTGAACGAACACAGAAAATATATGATTAGATAAAAAATTAACCAATCAGTGATTTTCTAACAAAAGCATGTTTGCGAAATTCCCGGCAGAAAAATTCAGTGTGGTGACCGCGATTAGTAAATTGTCCTGTGGTAAACAGTATTTATTATTTAACCAATCACAGATGAGAAAACCGTAGGTGTGGCAAAGATAGTAGTCACTACAAGAAAATCAAACAACTACTTATAGATAACAATCCAAATATAGTCTGCTTGCATGAGATGTTTCTCAAAGAAACTCTCCTTTAAAGGATATGAAACTTACCACAAAATAAATATATCAACAATAGAGAACAGGTCAAGTGGGGGTACTTCAATATTGGTTAAAAAATCAATACCCCATGAAAAACTACACATGGACCATGGCAGTAAAAACTTCAATTCATTGAACAATAACTATATATTCAACTTATATTCTTCCAAAACACAGACTGAATAAGAATGAAATAGAAAGGCTTATTGGACAGCTTCCCATCACTTTCTACTAATGGGAGATTTTAATGAACACAGCAAAATGTGGGGCTGTAGGCACCCTGAATCAAACTGGTAAAATTATAGAATCTCTACTAGAATCATCTGCTCTATGTATCCTTAATAACCAAATGCACAAATGCCTACACCCAGGTCAACATCAGTCATTGACCTAACCATATGCTCCCCCATCAATTTTTATAGATTTTCAATGGATAGTTTATGATGACCAATGCGTTAGTGACCATTCATCTATTTTCCTAAATATAAGCAAGCCTATGCCAGAGAAAAGGAATCCAAAATGGCAACTGTACAAAGCTAACTGGCTAAAATTGAATGAACACTGCTTATCCCAAATCAACATGGAAATTCTCAATGAACCAAAACCAACAGTCTCCTTTACAAACATTACAAACATACTAAAACAAATAGCAAGACAAACAATACCCAAATCCACATACCAAATCAAAACTGGTTCACAGCAGAATGCAGAGAAGCAGTTAAAACTAGGGAAAAAGTGCTAAATATATTCTTACACAACCCAATCACAATCAACTTACAAAACTACAAGTAAGCAAAAGCATGCTGTATAATTAAAAAAATCCAAAAGAGAAACATGGAAAACTATATCTCAAAATTAAACAACAAAACCCCAATAAATAAAACATGGGAAATAATAAGGAAAATTAATGGAAAGACATCAGAAACTGCAACAATCCATTTAACCAAAGCAATTGGCGATAAATGCACTGAAAAAAAAAAAAAGAAAAAAAAAAAGAAATAGCTAGCCTAATATCAATGGAATTTCAAAGAAACTCCTCAACAAATCATTACACTGTCAAATTTCAAAAATATAAAAACATTCTGGAACAAGAAAATCTTATATTCATTTCAAACAATAAAGAAGAATACAATATTCTCTTTATGATGACAGAACTAAAAGACTCCATAAACAAAAGTAAAAACTCTTCAACTGGTCCAGATGAAATCCATCATTAATTTTTAAAACACCAGCCAGAAGAATTTCTTTTAATACTTCTCTAGTTCTTCAATGATATATAGTGTTCAGACAAATTTACAGAATTATGGCTTGAGTCTATCATCATTCTAATTCTTAAACCTGGCAAAGACTATTCCAACCCAACAAACTACCAACCCCATTGCACTAACAAGTTGCATTTGCAAGACTATGGAGAGAATGGTAAATGCTTGGCTAATGTGGTACTTGGAGAGAAACAATCTCTTATCTAGTTACCAAAGTGGATTCTGAAATAATCAAGGAACCAATGATCAACTTGTATGGCTAGAATCCTTTATTCATGATGGAAATGGAAACGCAACATCAGACACACACGTGCAGTAGGCAGGAGTGCCTTAAAGTAGCATTTTATCAGTTACATTATTTATTCTCAAAATAAATAGTATTATTAAAACCCTTAATACAGGAATTGAAAAATCCCTTTATGTAGATAATCTCTCAATATCACACTCATCACCAAACATACCTTCCTTTAAAAGATATATACATATATGTTTAAAAATATGTTTCAACTATTACCAAGCACAAAATTTTAACATGCTCTTCAAAAATGTACCTCCTGTCCAAATAATAGGATATCTGAAGGAAATAAAATACAACTTCTATAGAAAATAGAGCTTGGATTCTTTTGAAATACTTCCAAACTATATAACATGTGATATTTTGAAAACAATTTTAAAACCTCACAAGCACTTGAAATGGTTTGAAACATTTCTGAATAAAAATCCAGTTTCAGCATTACATGACCCACAGGGGTATTGATATGCCTCTTAAAACAATCAATTAATCAATCAATCATTAACTACTAGACATGTAAAATAATTTGCATTCATTTGTTTTTATTTTTTTTTATTTCTGCCTAATAAATTTAAGAGGCATGATATAATGTAAATAGTTTTCAGCTTTTTCTTCATTTCTTCATCTAGGCTTTAGGTGCTTGACCCCCCCCCCTCCCCGACTCATGGTTCATATGCAAGAAACGGATAATATTGCCCTACAGTCAAGAGAAAAATACAATGCAGTAAACTTTCATTTCGATTATTTATTCATTAAAATTTTTTATTTATTTGATTTATTCAAACTATTGTTCTCATTTTTGATTCCTATAGATGCAGTGTTTCAGCCAAGTACCCTTTGGTCATCTTCAGGTGTCCATTATCTTTGGTCAATAAGGAATATGTTGTATGTGCTAATTATTGTGTTATTTCTGTCCCTGTGATAATGTTAGAGACTGCATAGGCTAGTCCAAACTGGTAAACTGATGGCACAAACTGAGCAGGTGTGGTTTGAACCCTGCGTTAGTGGAATTCTGAAGGTGATTAATATAAGACCAAAAATAGGTGAAGACTGTCAGTATGGTTGCGAGAGTGAAGGTGCCTTGCTGTTTTCAGATGCCTTAGTGAGACAGACATGGTGATGGTTAGTTGACTAATTTGTTGACATCTGTCCTCTTAATCGGCTTCTTTTTTACTACTGCTCATTCTGTTTCCACTGAGGCCAAGTACATACTGCCCAGCCCAGGGATTGAGCACTTCTAAAAATAAGAACTAAATGAGATATTCCTGGACGTATCATAAAACAAGAACAATCTATTCATATAGGTTAGGTAAAGAGTTCAGTTCCCTGAAGGTTACATGGATCGACAAGCATCTGATGAAGGCCAGAGAACACAATGTCTGAAACATTGTGAACAACAAAGATGAGGAGAATAGTCCACATGTAAATAATATAAACATTAATTTTTAGATATTTTCTTAGCTCTTAATTTAGACTTGTCCTGATACATATTTCACTGTAGAAAAGGACTAGATGTTGTCCTTTATTTTGTCTAATTTTGATTCTGTGCAAAAAGAGAAAAAAATCCAATTTGGACTTATTATATAATGTTTATAAATAAGATTATTTGGAAGCAGATTAATGGTTGATATTCTGACAAGTTTTTCCCTTCAAAAATAAAAATCAGAAGTGAAGAGATGTAGTAAAATGAACTTACAGTCTTTGTAGATCATTTTCTTAGTTTTGTATTTACTATTAAGCTTTATGAATTGAGATAAAGCTTGATATTTATTGCTGACTTTCTCGAGAGCAATTCATTGCACCTTCTTGGTCGTATATTTTTTTTCTTTCGGTAGCTGATACAAAATCTGGGACGTCAACCCTACATCCAGGTGTTTTCCCATTCAATGCTTAACACAATTTACAAAGAACTGAGACCAATCTCTCTTAAGCTCAAACGAAAATGGTTACAGTTTCCTGACCAAGCAGACAGAGAAATCATCCTATCCTTTCTTCTGGAAGTGTCTTCTCATGAAAATTGACTTTCCCAGAGACCATAGCTTGGGAGTCAGGGTTGGACATTGGGGATCTGGAGAGAGCAATACAAGACCAAACAATGTGGAAAGGGATTGTCAATGGAGTTCTGACTAACTATAGGGAAATCAAAGGATGATGATGATGGTCGTCTCATGTTTTCCATTGACATGAAATGGAATGATTATATTGAATCAATTAATAGGTCTACTGCTAGGAAAGTTGGTTCACTGTGTTGTGCTAGACAATTTTTCTTGCCAGAATTCATCTTATACATTTATAAATCTGTCATTATCTGTGCATTGAATATTGCTGCCAGTATGTGCTCTGGCTATATTTCCTTGATTTTCTCGACTTCATTTTCCCCCGCTGCTGTTATGTGGCATCCCTCGGTCTTCTCTATAAATATTTTCATGGCAATTGTTCTAATAAGCTCTTTTCTTGGTGTCTCAACTGCATGAATTTAAGCATATTACTAGATTGGCAATTAGGTCTCATTGTTTTACTCTTGAAATAATAGCTGGATGTAATCCTAAGTTATATTCTAATAGTTTCTTTTCTTGTGCTTCTCACCTATGAAATTCTCTTCTAGCTTCTTGTTTTCCTGCTGCCTATAAGCCTCAAAAAAATCAAATGCATTGTCAATCACCATCTTCTATCTTCCTGTTCTTTTATTATGCTTTCTCTTAAGTAAAGTATTCTCATTCTCTTTCACTCACAGTAACCACTTGTCTTAGTGGCATTATTGTCTTATGAGGGGTGAAATGATTAAAAAAAAAAAAAGAATTTATTAAATTGTTTCACTCATAAATGCAGAACATTTTTTAACAACTGAAAGCCATGTACTCAGCACAAGAAAAGTGTCATGGCGTACATTTGACCTAAATTTCTTGTTATTTAATGTTTCTTTATATTTTTCTCTCTTTTTAGTGCAACAGAAAGAATCTTACAAAAGTGCAGACATATTGTTGATATAAAGAAAGATGATGGCTTCTCTGCTCTTCATCTAGCAGCCTTGAATGGCCACAGGGAAGTGGCCAATACTCTACTTACTGTGGTTTGTCATCCCTCTCTTTTTTTTTTTTTTTTTTTGCTCATTTTATCTTTTCAGAACTTGTTTCTCTTCCTGTCATGAGATGACATATTGCAAGAAAACTTTATCATAATTATATGTAATAATTATTGCCTTTTTAAATATAAAAGAAAAACCAGGAAAGAATATCACAGGTTAATGTTTTTGTGGTGAACAGCGCCATAGAAGCAAGCGAGCCAGAGTGGCTTGCATCTGGTGCATAGGAAAATAAGGGTCTTAACTTAACATGCGGCACGTGACATCGGCAAGTTTGCTCCTTGAAAATGGCATTACTCTCCTGTTTAGCAATTCCAGCAGTATGTGCGGTAATGAGGGTTTTTTTTTGTACAGTTTGGCATGCTTCGACCAGGTCATGTGCTGATTGGTCAAACTGGATGAGGCTATTTGAGAATAAAAGCATAGAATGCTGATTGGTTGGTCGACTGCAGCGTTGGCCTGATAAAAGAAGGCTGAAGCAGTGAAAAACGGGAGAACAACAGTCGGATTTATGTTGTGAATTGTTAAGAAAGCAAGAACAGCGAATTGAACCAGTGGTGTCTTGATTTGTACAAATGACGTTGTAGTAATAGAGACTCATTTAAACTACAGTTTTTTTTTTCAAAAACGTTTCTAAAACATGAAAAACGATATTCAAATAACAGGCAAGATAGCAAGAAAATATCTTTTAAAGTTTTGAATAATATTTTTTTTTAAGTATGCCTTAAGGACATCAACATTCATGGCTCTCCACAGGTTTCTTTTCTTTATTATCCTTGAATTGTCATGCCTTATCACAGAAAGATAGTCGAGTAGTTTTCAATCACTTTCTCCATTGTTTGAATTTCTCTTACACTTGTTGCTAGAGAGTCCAGCTCACATTGCTATTTAACCCATAGTTGAAGGGTGAAGAGACAGATTCAGGCCTTCAGAACAAGGGGGAGGGACAAATGTTAAATTACTGCTGTGATAAAAAATATAATATTATTTCTTAAATAATATCCTATGATAATTGTACTTGTCCCTTGTCTTCAGTAGTTCACATGACCTGCTAATTAATACCTCATAAATAATCAACTATTCCATTTTGATTGTGTGGAAATTGGGGAAAAGACACTACATGGTTTCAGTGAGAAAATGAAAGAAAGAAAAGAAGATAGAAGTGGAGAGAGAGAATCAGATTAAACTGATAAGAACAGATATCACACTTTGATCTTAGCCAAAAGGCCAAGAAGTCGATTGTATTTTCTTTCTGCCCTAAGCTGGCAGGATGTGACACAAGGTCAGTTTAATGTGGGTAGCCCAAGCATGTGCACCCAGACCAGGTCCAAAAGTAGCTCAGAGTCTGAAACCATCAGTTACATTGACATTGGTATTACTACCAATCCACCCTCTATAGTGCAATGAGGGTGTTACTGCTGAGGGCAGCTGTTATCCAAGACTGGACACCATTCAATAATATTTTCAGTTACGCTCTTTCCAAAGACAGACACACAACTGAAAGATGAAATGTAGTTTGTTTTTTTTTGCCTGATACTACACTATCATCCCAGCTAAAAGGCCAAATAACAATGGTGATTACAATAAAAGCACCAGTTTTCAGATACACAGTATTTGAACAATGGAAACTAAATAAGGCATTTGCCAAAAATTCAGTTACCATAAATAAAATAACATTGTCTGCTGAATTATTATGAGAGATGTTAGTAAGACAGCGATTTGGCTAATCATTAATAATTATTTTCTGTAATAAAAGAAATAAAATCTTAAGAGTGAATTGACTTTCACTGACCATTATATAGCAGACACTGTGTCTTTTATAATATTTTTTCTTGTAGGGTCCTTTTGATTTTGAAACCCATATAAATATTTTACTTCTTCCCAAATCCATCTGCACATATATTTTGTGTACTGTATTTGATGACAGAAAATCCATTGTTTTTTCACCTACAAATGTGTTAGGATTTCATAAATTTGTCTCAAATGAACAGAAAGAAATTTATTTCAAATTGGGGACATGGATGAAATTCCAATAACATTCAATGGACCATCCAAAGATTGTTTTTTTGTTTTGTTTTTTATATTGATGAAAATAGAGGTGGGATTCATAGGCCATCAAATATGGTGCTTTTTTTCTTTCATCTTTTATGTCTATCTTTATTTTTTTTCCATTTCATTTAGGGCCAAGCACAGTTAGATATCAGGAATAACCGACTACAGACGCCATTACTGCTTGCAGTGTCCCAGGGACACATGTCTCTTATAGAGCTTCTGGTGTCTAAAGGAGCAGATATTAATGTAGAAGATGAGGATGGAGACACCTGCTTGCATTTGGCTCTCATGAGACAAACAGTTGCAACAGACAGTGAACAATCTCCCAGGTTGGATGCTGTGAGTAAAATTCTGTTATTTTTCTCTTTGTAATGGTCAGCAAACAAATCTCTCAGTTTATTATAATTTGCAATTACTTTGATCGCCATTGAATCTTACTTTTGTGTAGCCTTATGCCAGACTAATTTAAGCTTAATAAATACTCACATTCACATCACAAACATTTAAATTAAAAATTTTCATGCGATATTCAAAAATTAAGAATAACACCTCATATTTAAAGTTTGAGGTAGAATGTTATCACAGAATTCTAATAAAATGGCTCATGACAATTATTGAAGTCTGTCAAAAACTTGAAATATCAAGTAAGCTGGCACATCCTGGGTATGATGATAAACTACGTCTGCGTATGTCAATAAACTACGTCTGCGTCCTGGGTATGACGATAAACTACGTCTGCGTCCTGGGTATGACGATAAACTACATCCGCGTCCGGGGTATGACGATAAACTACATCTGCGTCCTGGGTAAGATGATAAACTACGTCCAACAGCAAGGCCTCTGATAATAGGTTTTTGAAAAATAATGTTGCCTGCTGTACGTTTTTGAAAAAATAATATTACCAGTTATACGTTTTTTTTTTTTTTTTTTTTTTTTTTTTTTTTGAAAGAATAGTGTTGCTGGCTATACATTTTTGAAAAATAATATTACCAGCTATATGTTTTTGAAAAAATAGTATTACCACCTATATGTTTTTGAGGAAAAAAATATTAACAGAAATAGATTTTTGACATAACAAAAATATTACCAGGGAAAAAAAAAAAGTTGTCAGCATTAAATGACCCATTGAGGTTGATATGCCAGAAACCAAACCAAACCAAACCAAATCAAATAAGCTGGCACAGACTATGGACACTTACTTCGTACCTTCAATTCTAATATATGGAAATCAAGCTGTCCATTAAAAAAATGATTTAAAAAAAACAAGACACGACTTGTCTTTAACAAAACCTGTCCAAATGAACACTTACTGCCTTAAAGTGCCTTACTGCAACATAATAAGTAGTAAGCAATTCTTACAGACCACCATTAAATGCTCTACACTGATGGCCTTGTGCCATAGTAATGTAAGCTTTGTAAATAGCAGTAATTTCTGTCATAATGATCATATTATAATTGTCTGTCCTGGGTATGATGATAAACTCCATCCAGCAGCAAGGCCTCTGATCAGGAGTTTTGAGAAGTGTGGAACCACCTTTTATTTGTTGGTGTTCCCAGGTCCACCCTGACCCGAGGTGGTAGCACCTGTTAGTGTCCCATCTATGGGTAAATAGTTTCCCCCTCCCTCAAGCTCGTGTCTGAATACTAAGAAAGTGTAAAGATGGGTTTTTATAATAAAAATACCATCAATACGAATTTTCAATATATATACAATGCACCTTCACAAAAAAACGATTCCCAAAAACTATAAATTGCCCTCAATGGGGCCACCTGTTTGCCATAGGTGATGATCTGTGAGGCCTGGGGTCGGAATCCTGATGACTGAGTGACCTCTGATCTGGTATAAAATGACCAGGAGTGTCCACAACATGTCACTTTGGTCCCTACCTGGGATAGAGAGGTGGATGGAATTTACCAATCCATTTCAATCGGCTAGTCACATAGTGGCAAGGGCTAGTTGGGATGATAGATAATGGCTCCAACATGGCTGCAAATTCTTACACTGTACTATACTTGGGTAGATATGGTGAGGGAATGCAAGTGCTCATATCTACTTTCATTACAACTATACTGACTGCATAGCCCTGGCAGATCAGGGTGAATGGGATTATAAAACCCACCACCCCAACCCCCGATGGTGTTCCTTAAGAAGGAATTTCAAGGTTGGTGGGAAAACACAGATGGTGTATAAAAAAAATCAAAATTATATGGCTATCTCTTATAAACGAACCAAGATACAACATGATACTTCTGGAATAGAAAGTGAAAACAAAATATCAGAAAAAAAACAATTTCCAACTTTCATAGTTATCGACTCACTAGATGGCGATATATCAAAACTGTCTCCTTTTGTGTTGCAAAGGGTTATATCAGCCATGATTAAAATAAAATCTGTAAAAAAAAATAATAAACTTTTAATTCAAATAAAAACCAAAAAAAAAAAAAATGCAGAAAAATTATTAAAAATCAAGTAAATGGACAACAATAAAGTAAAGGTATCCCCACCAATTTCTTAATTCATCTAAGGGAATAATAAAATGCCCAGAGATGTCACTCTGCTCACCAGAAAAAATTAGGAAGGATGACACTAAAAAAAACAAGGAGTAGCAGACATCAAAAGAATTCAAATAAAAAGAAATGACACATCAATAAACAAAAACACATGTACCTTTTGACATTTAACAAACCTACTTTATCTAAAGAAATAAAGATAGAATACTCAATAGTCATGGTAGAGCCATACATTCCTAATTCCCGTAGATGTCACAAATGTCAGAAGTTTGGTCATCTACAAAATCTTTGTACGAGAGCATCAGTCTGTTGAAGATGTGGGGAACTTGAGTCGGGTCATGAAGAGTTACCCTGTGAAAGGCCCTCCTTTATGTCTAGACTGTAAAAAAAAAAAAACGCTCAGCAGATTCTAAAGAGGGTAATATCTGGAAAAAGGAAAAGGAAATAATAAGAATAAAATGCATGCAAAACATCTTGTTCCAAGAAGCCAGAAAACAGGTCAAATCTTATTCACTTCAAATCGCTAAAATATCAAATCACCAAAATGACATCCAAGAGAACAATGCAATAAGAAGCCAAGATTGTTTTGTTTTACAGTATATCAACCTCAATTGGTTATTTAATACCATCAAAATGTTTATTTCTTTGTAATATTTTTTCTTCAAAAATGATTTGCTGGTAATAAATTTATTTTCTTTTTTTTACAAAGTATTTCTGTTATTAAAACCCATTTTTAAACTTACATAGTGTTTTAACCCCAGTTTGGGAGGGGTCTAACTATTTACCCATAGTTGGGACCCCTAACAGGTGCTACCACCCCAGGTCAGGGAGGACCTGAGAACACCAGCAATTAAGAGGTGGTTCCATGCTCCTCAAAACCTCTTGATCAGAGGCCTTGCTGTTGGACATAGTTTATCGTCATACCCAGGACAGTCTAATAAATGAATTAAAAAAGTCTAGTAGAACTACTAAAATGTCGTATATCACACATAAATCAAACTCCCATAGACAAAACAAATCCCATCCCGTCAACCTCAAACAATAAAGAATCTATATGTAGAAAACAATTAACTCCAAAAATCCCAATCCAAAGTACAAAAAATCCTTCAAAAATAGAACCCTCTAGACATTCCCAAGAGAATCAAAAGGTGCATAAAAAAAATAATACACCCCAGTAGATCATTGAAGAATTAAGCGGAATGGACATAGATTAACAAAACTCTATTCCATCTCAAACAAGGGAATGGTCATCATCCAAAGATCATCAAAAGAATCTAAAAATAGTAAAATTATTTTATCTTTTACACCTTAATTTGGCATAATTTTTCTTCTTATATGCAACCAATCTCCGTAGTTTGTTTACATTTACTTTGTGCAAAATTTTTATTTTCTTTTAAAATCACCATTCTTTATGAACCCGTCACATCAAGACATTAGGGAACCCGAACTATGTAATATTTTAAATATGTCACAGAACACTTGCTAGAAAAAGAAAAAAATGTATGAGCAACGTACCGTACCCAGCTTAAGTTATAATTATGGTTTAATTAGATGATATCAATTGCAATGAAAAATGAAATTAAAGTTAAACATTTAATAAAGATTTGTCTTTTAAACCTTTCACTCTGTTCAATATTTAACTTTAACTGAGTTACTTATTTAATTTTTAATTACGTGTTACTTCAAGTTTGTTGAGATCAAAAAATGGATGGATGGACACCCTACACTGTGCTTTATTTATATAGATTTATATTATCAGAAAGCAACATCGGAAAAATTACTTGTAGCCTTTTTTAAAGTTCAGTTTATTTTTTTAAATCTACGTTTAGACAATTATAATTTGCCCTGAAATTTTTCTACTTTTTATTAAACTTTGTTATTTTAATTTTGGTTTGCACTATTTTGAATGAATTTCCTCCTTAAATGTACAGACATTCATTTTTCTTGGAGTTCCTTAGCCATTGTACTTTTTATGAAAATTAATTTTTGCTTGACCTTGTTGTAAATTGTTGCCAACTGGTACTCACTAGTCACATTCCAGTGTTATTAGTTTATCATATCACAATTACCAAGTTGTAAATCATATGAAGATATAACGCTCAAAAAAAATGACCAATCCAACAACAACAAAAATGGGTCGCACATGTAACAAAATGGGAAAATAATTATATAAACAAAATGCTGACTTTCCACACTATAACAGTTATTGGACTTATGAAATCCAATTTCCTGAAAAAAATACTTTTAAAAAAAAGATTTTATGAATTTTAAGTGACAATCAATGAATACCAAATATTTTCTGTATGGAAACGGTCAATTTCAGTTACAATTTACCATTCCTATAGACACAACATTATTAACTGACAAAAAATTCTTTTGATAATGGCTTATGAAAGCTGGAAGTTTACAGAAGCCACTGAACAAATTTATGCTTAAATTCTGCCCGGAAAATGTGGAAAGGATCAGAACAGAAAACAAACAAAGAGAAATAAAATAAAAATAAATAATATATGGCCTGATGATTGCATTTAAGCATGAAACAAACTGTCACCTCTAGGTTTTGACTTTAATGTCCACGTGTGTGTGTGTATATATATATATATATATATATATATATATATATATATATATATATATATGTGTGTGTGTGTGTGTTTCATTAAAGATGACAGACAAAGTGCTTTTTATTTAATTTTTCTTGTGTTTGAACAAGTGTTTTATTTTTGGGACATGGAGTGTGTAGAAACTGTCCAAACGTTCTATAATTCCGAGCGCTTTTGGCTATACTTTTAGCCATTATCAAGGATGATTTTATTTTTGCTTTTTAATTGGGTGTATGGGTTATATGTATGTTTTAGAGTTATAGGGATGTTTTATTTTCCAAATACAGTTAACACATTGTGGCCGTGCTCATAGTTAATATTATTAAGTGTTGGCTTTTTCTTTTTTATTATTAAGACTTCCATTATTTTTAATCTTTTTTTTTTTACATTTGGACAATTTCTACACACTCTGTGCCTAAAAAAGGAAACCCTTGTTCGAACACAAGAAAAATTAAATAAATAGCTTAATTTCAGTATCTTGTCTGTCATCTTTAATGAAACATGTATAAATGAAGGATTGCTGCCTAAATACACACACACCCACACACATAGAGACATATATATATATTCATAAACACACTCACACAAACACAACAATTCAAACCAATGCTAATCAAAATTTATAAAACTATAAAAAATTCTTTAATACTGATTTTTTTTTTTTTTTTTTTCTTTCTTTATTTTTTCCTCATAGATTCGTTCTCAACTTGGCTTGAGTGATGAAGATGAACGCTCTGGTCTGGCGATTGCCTGCTACCTGGTCCAGCAGGGTGCCAACCTGTTTCACAAGAACCACCGTAATACCACGCCCCTTGGTATGATCAATGATCCAGTCTTAGAAGAAAGAGTTAAACAGTTTGCCAATACACAGTAAGTTTGTATTTTGGTTCTGCAAATACTTTAAATCTCTCATGAAAAATTGCCATAGTTTTAGATAACATTTTTGTAGAGAAAAACTGATACGAAATAACTGAGATGGAATAGCAAAATAACATTTTTTGCTGACATGAAGTAGAAAGATTACATTGAATCAATTGCTAGGTCTTATGCTAGGAAAGTTGGTTCATTGTGTCATGTGAGACAATTTTTCTCACCATAATCTATCTTTAAGAAATTCATTTAAGAAAAATACATTGAAAACAGATCAATATTTTATTTTTAATAATTTGTGTAAATTAGATTCTTTTTTAAAATGTGAATAAATTTTTTTCTTTTTTTTTTCTTCATCTTTTTTTTTTTTTTTTTGTAAAGAAATTTATTTCTAGTAATGGTTATTTGCCTTTACTATCTGGTCATGTCACCCTCTAATTGGTTAGATTTGAAAGTTACTGTTTTTTTTTGTTTTTTTGACTGTGTTGACACCTTGGCAGTGTCTGGGGAAATATGCACATTTTTAGAAAGAAAGGATTGGTATCCCATGGTAGCTGGATGCCCAAGAAAATTATCCATCATTCGATGACATACATTTTTTTATGTTGAATATTTTGAAATGGAAAAAGTTTTTTGAAAACTAAGAACTTGGGACAAAGGAGTTAAAAACCTATTTTATTATTTATACCATTGAGTGGTAATAAAAATGAATTTTTATATTCTGAATTTATTTAGCTTGACATTAAATAAAAATGTTGCTAGTTATTTCACACTTTCTCCAGAGTAGAAAGTGACATTTTATGAGAAGTTTTTAACTCTTTGAAGTTGGCATATGTTGCTGCCATCAGTTCAAGATTTTAAACCCAGCTATAGATGCCTGAATAGAACAAGGAAGTTGCAGTTTCCTTTTGAAATAATATTGAAAATATCCTGCATTGAAACCAGTAATACAGACAACATGGCTACCACTGAATGGGAAGAAGAACAACCACAGACAGATAAGACAACATCACCAGTAAATTAGGCCAATCTCCACAGGGTTGCTGAATATTGCCATAAGCCTCCTAATTGGAAAGGACAATAATTATATAATCAAGGTGTTGTCTTTCTACATTACCTTAGACAAAAAGTTTGGAAAGAAACTTCCATCAATACAAGAAAGAGTTTTAACAGTGAACTTGAGAAAACTATTTTCCTGAAAATTTCCACTCCCAATACAATAATGCTATTTGATTAGTGTCTGCCAAATGTTCCCTGTATGGAAATGGCTATTTTTAACCCTTGCCATTGAAAATTTTGTTTTTTCTTTCATCTTCAAAAATGTCTAAAATATTTGCCCCTCATACTGAGAAATTTGGGGACCTCCTGAAATTAACTCTATTTGATTTTCTTTGTTTTTTTTTTTTTTATTAAATTTATTTCTGTGTCTTCTTTATAGTATGCCACGAAATTTAACGGACAGTCCCTCATGCAATACCAGTGAATGTATGGTTTGTTCAGAGAATGCAGCCACTGTCAAGTTCCAGCCATGTGGACACGTTATTGCCTGTGAAGAATGTTGTCTAAAAATTATGATCAAGAAATGTATCCAGTGTAAAGTGCCTGTATCTAGCAGAATTGGAATTGGTAAGTTATTTTTTTTTGCCTTTGTTTTCTAAAGCAATGATATTTTGATAAGTTTATCTTGTATTCCATTTAATTATTATTGATAATTCATTTGTTGAAAAAAGAAAAGTTAAAATAATTGTAATTGCGAAAATACTTCATTTTAAAAACAATTTAAGAATATATCAATTTGTACAATATATAATTTCTAATTTATTAAACAAGTTAAACTGAAAATAAAATAGATAAATTTATTTATTTAATCAAAATCTTCCTCTTGTATATTTATTTCACTTGGCAATTTGAATCCTAAATTAAAAATTCTCGGTAAATTCATTGGAGAAGTTCTTGCTGCACTGTATGGAAGCCTTCTTGATCTATTGAGCACTCCCCATAACCTTCTGAAGTTATAGTGTAGTATAATTTTAGTTGATATTTTGTTTCTCCTCCACATCCAGCAATTGTACTGATTTTTCTCTGATTATATAAAATCTATAATTTTCATATAACAAATGATGATGCATTACAAAAAATGGTCATAGCATTTATTGAACTTTTAACCAGTTTCTCTAAAATTATTTGAATTAATACCCATTAATACAATGAGGTTATCTTTGAGTTCACTGAAGATTCTTGAAGTTTTTCATTAATAGCAATTGTTTTCAGCTACCGAGTTTCTATGGCCAGCATTATGACCCAATCATCAAATAGAAAATGGGAAAATTCTGAATTAAATCTTTTTGTAGTTGTCTAAAAAAAAAAAAAAATAAAATAAAATAAAATTTTTTTAACTTAAATTAAAAATTTAAAAAAATAAAATTTTATTTGAAAATGAAATATCTTTAAAAAAAAAATGAAAGTAAAAATGTCAAGCTTTAAACAAAATCAACAACTTCTTGTGAAACAATTATAAATATGTTCAGTTTTTCATAACTTTGTGTTCAGTTTGGTTAGAAGCCTAAATTTTTCTTTCCACAAAGTATTCCTTATGGATATTTGTATGATGAGGTGTTGAAAAGTTCTTAACCTGACCAAGGTCTTCCAAAGAAAATTCTGAAGTTTAGTCATTTAAATAGATTTTGGGAAGTGGCTCAGGCTTTTTCAACACTCATTTATATTCATACAGATTGACATTTTAACATACATAGCTTTGTCGGATAGCAGTTCTCAGACAGGGGCATTTGGCTGTCAAGGGAGGAATTTCAGATCTAAGGGGGAGGAGTTTTAGCCAAAGTAGGAATTTGGTATTAAACCCTATGGAAAGTTTTGTATCAATGAAATAAGGATTTCTTTTTTCTATTGCAACTAATAAAACAATTTGGATTTGTAAATTGTTTCAACAATTACCAGCATAAAATATAATGGTGAAAATAGGGACATTTTTCAGGAACCTTTGCCCACAGCATTGGGTGACCAGGGATTCTGAGTATGTTGAAACATGGGTTCTTGTATAATCACTGAAATTAATCAACATTGAGCTTAGTCAGTACTTAGATGGGTGTCTGCTTCAGAATACCAGATGCTGTAAACTCGGATAATGACTTGGAATTGGAAATCAGAGAGCCGAGTGCTAATTTCAGTCAGGTTCATTACATTCACTTACGTGCAAATAACCTTGAGAAAGGTATGAATCCACCTCTTCTCCCTCCAGCTATGGGTTAATTAGTAGGACATGTATTAGTAAATCATTATTATTTCCAAAAAATCCTTACAATCTAAAAATCCCCTTGTCCTTTGTTGAATTTAGAAAATGTAATTTTCAAGTATATTGTGCATTTGAAGGAATTCATTTAAAAAATTATATATATATATATATATATATATATATATATTTCTTTGTCCTTTATTATAATTTAACAGAGTTTTCCACCCTAACTACAATATATCTTGCATGCATTATGACAGTGTTCTATAAACAGCGATACATTTTATTAAATATTTGAAACCTGTAGAATATTTTGTCCTTGACACATAATTGAAAGAAACTGCATTGAAGTTAAGCAAAAAAAAAAAGAATTTAGGGACCCTCGCTGAAGAGAAACATTTTTGGCTACTAACACATCTCACATGACAGTCTAATTCCTTGATAAAGAAAAACATTTTCACCCTTGGTTTTTGATAAGAAACTTTGGCATTCAGTTATGAAAACTTAAAGAAATGAGAAAGAAAAATACTTTTTAATGAATTCTAAATTTTGTAAAGTGCCTATTGCAATCAAGAAAGGCCAAAGAACATATTGGTTAAAATAACAAAGATGAAGATACTAGTCTGAAAATTGTACACAATAATAAAAAAGACCTTCTTAGAACTTGACTGTAATGCAATTAATAGAAAAAGAAAATACTGAAATATTACTGCCAGTGATATGTATGAAAGCTTTGATAAGTCACTTTTGTTTTTTAAAAAAAAAGATTGGAATGAATACAAAAAGAAAGGGTAATTCCCCGGAAAGAACATTTCAAATCAGGCTTAGATCTGCTAGTGGTAACATGTAACCAAGTAGAACTTGCCACAAGGATGGGTGATTGTTGTCTAAACCAGCTCCCCCCCCCCAAGTAGTTTTTCTGGTGGTGAAGTGGGTGGCATTTCACTCTGTAGGATGAAAAACAAGAGGTGTCAAAGGGTGGATGAGCATCTTAGACGAGCCAATGATGAACACACACATATATATATATATTTAGTTGTATTGATATAAGTTTGTGACCCTGTGTTTCATGCTTTTGTGATCATCAGACATATGTATTTCACTCAATACGACAGACAAGGTGCTTTTATTTAGTTTTTTATACAATTTCTCATGCTATCTAATAATTTTTTACTTTTTGGATGATAAATTATATAAAAACTGTCTGAATGTTCTTTTTATCCAAGTGCTTTCGGCTATGTAAACATGGACCTTTGTACCTGCAAAAAATGGCACGTCAAAAGGACAGTTTTTCCTATGACACTGTCTTTATTTCAACTATCATCGGTTTTCGGCAATGTTTATTCTTTTGAAAAGTGATGATTACAATTGTAATAAAACCTAAACATATGAAAGTAAATTTATACATTTTCTTTTTTCTTGAGAATTGAGAACAAAAATAATAAAGACTATTTATTTATTAGGTTGTTTATTGAAATGGTTGGCAAAACATTGGCTAATTGCCAATTGATTTAAACTTTATAAAATGGTAAATAATAAGGATTTTGATATGGTTGGCTCACATATTTTAATAATTTAGTGAATGTTTTTCAATTTATGAATAAAAACTTTTTATGTTTATTTCTTTATAAATTGGTAAATATTGAATTACATTAGTTGTATTAGTTTTTAGAATGTTGTCAATATAAAATTATCTTTGTAAATAAACAATTTAATAGTGTTTAATATTTTTGTTGTGAATTCTCAAGAACGAACGAAAACATATAAATTCACTTTCATCAAATGTTTAAATTTTAATCTAATTCTCACCATTGCTTTTTAAAACAATAAACATTACCAAGGAGCAAAGGTAGTTAAAATAATAGCAGTGTCAAGGGAAAAAAAACATCATTTTGACACATTTTTTTTTTTGCAAGCACAAAGGTCCATGTTTGCCCTTATTTATATGGTTACATTTCCAGAACCAATTCATTATAAAATTTCCATCTTTTAAATGGAATTCTTTTATCTATAACCTAATTTTTTTTTCTATGGTTTGTTCCCAATTTCAGATGGTTCCCAGTTTAAACATTCGTCATCACCGCCATCTTCATCGTCGGCTACACAAGATTCGAAGCACAATAATAAGCTGCAGGAATTGGAGGAGCAATATATGTGCTCAATCTGCATGGAACGTCGCTGGAACATGGCATTTGTCTGTGGACATACCACGTGCAAGGAGTGTGGTGACGTCCTAAAACAGTGTCACATGTGCCGTAAACCAATTCAGAAGAAAATCCTCCTCTACTGACCCACCTCTGTTGCCCTGACCTCTCTCTCTCTCTCTCCTTCATCTGAAGCTAGTTTTCCTCTGAGGAATGTCACCCCTAATTCTCTTTCATCTCTCAACTCTTCAACCCTGATCAATATTTTGCTTGAATATCTGAACTCAAGAAATGAATGAATAGTTTTTAATATATGGAATAAAAGAAGAATATAAAACAAAAAAAAAGTACAAAACAAATAAAGGAAAATGGAAAGAAAAATTTTTCTTTATGAAGTAAATGATAATTCAATCATTGGAGTCGGGGGGGATCCATCTTTCTTAATCTTCATTTTTGTTTTTCTTTCACGACATTGGTTCATTCTCCTTTCATCTTCAGGTGAAGAATGTTTTATTACAGTGTTTGTCTTAGGTCAGTTTTACTGATCTAATTTGGTCTGTTATCAAACGTGCTTTCTGACTGAAGTCTTGCTCGGATGGCCAGGAGGGGACTACCGTGATGAAACTCGACAAGTCAGTAATAAGATGCTGAGAAAACAACAGTTTATGCAAGAAAAAATTGAGATGTTTCTCCATCTTTTTTGTTGCTTTTTATCACAAAATTGTCAGATGACTTAGCAATTCAATTAAACACTGCAATTTAAGAATAAAATATTCAAGTAGAAGAGACATGCATTCAAATCTCCAAATTTGATATTTAATTCCTACAATTTATATTAATAGCTGAAAAATAGAACAGCTAAATAGAAATGTGATAAATAGTAAAACAAAAAGATTGAGAAACTAATGAAAAATAAGTCTCTGCAATAGTTGAATCTGTAGAAAACAAAATTTCACCTGGAAAAAAAAATACATAGAAACACAACTGAATGAAATGTTATGAATCTTCAAGCAAACAGGAAAGATGGGCATTCATCTGAAAACAGTCTTTGAATAATAAGAACTCTTCAAAATCTCACAGAAAATGGAAGAAAGCAATTGCAAAGAAATGAAAAAATATTCCAGGAATCTGACAGTCATGTAGAAATTACAATTATTATGATACCAAGGGTTAGAAAACTTCTGATATATCTAATGCTGCAGAGTGATTATATTCTCGATTCAACTTTCCTTGGTGAACAAGAACAAACACACCAGATGGACAGGCTTTTCAGAAAGAATTTGAAAGAGAATATACTAACCTTGAAAATATGATTCTCTAATATTATTAGACCACTATGGAATCTGATTAAAAGAGAGAAAAGCCAAAATGGGAGTGTTTTTTTTTTTTTTTTTTCACAAAGAGGGTAGGTACTTTCATTCACCCCTTCCTAGTCAAGAAAGAAAGAAAGAAAAAAATTTGAAAAAAAAAAAAACGAACAGAAAGACATGATTATTTATACATATCTTTTACTTAGCTGCCCCTTCCTGGGCTTGAACCTCTGCACTTTAAACAGTTGTCATGACTACATTTACCACTGTTCTTTACTCCTAATTCTGAAAGAACATCCCATCTCTTTATTCCATTGACTAACTGCTGGTTTGGTTTTTCTGCCCTGTCTTCTTTCAAAAGAATTGCTATTCCATTGCAATTGTATCCCTCCAGTTTTATCCTCTTTTTTTGGGCACGGGGGGTGGGGATCATAAATGTTTCTACATTTCTTTGCAAATTTATTTTTATTTTTTTTAATCAATGCTTGAAATGTTTTCTTTTTTTTTTCTTTTTTTTTTTTTTTGTATATGCCATATTTTTTTTTATACACTTTATGTAAATGGTGTTTGCTCTCTAAAATGTGTGTTGATCTATAACTGAATCTTGTGTTAGGGATTTGCCCCATGTAGCAAAGCCAAATGTGATACACACAAACATGTATTGTTGGCAAATTTCCTTTTCAAATATAAAAGGTAAAATTTGGCCTCAATTTTAGAATTCTTGAGAATGATAAAAAAAAACAAAAAAAAAACAATTTTTGTAATTAACTCTTATAATTAATTTTAGAGGTTCATTCAAAATAATTTAAAAATGAACGGTTTTAAATTTTGATTTTTTGGCATTCAGAATAATTTTAAGCAAAATTGTTTACTAAAATTTATTAAATTATGTAAGAAATTAAAGTCTGGATTTTTCTCTTCCTAACATCCCTTTAAATTTAAAACAAAAAATCAAAGCTTTTTATAATAAACCTATATGTATAGATTTATTATAAACGTGTTGACATTTTGTTTTTTGTTTTTTAAATTTCAGTAATTGACATCTTGTATTAGCTTCAGAATAGTATGTTCATAATTTTTGCTGGTGCTTGGATTTTATATTTTTAAAAAAGAAATTAAACTTTAAGCAGAATAACCTCCCCATTTTTTTTATTGAGAGTTAGAAATCAAATATGAAATCAATACAAATGAGAAAAAATAATTTAAAAAAATATCAAGAATAATTTAGGATTTCTTTTAAGAACAGGGCAGTTTTTTATGACTTAATCTTTATAATCGGTAATGAAATTGAGTAAAGTCACCATGCCATTATACTAAAACTACTAGCTTATACATTGCTACCATTCAATTTTATGAGTTATTTTTATTTATTTTTTTAGATCATCCTCATCATCATCACTATTTGCAAATTTGTTCTATCAATGCTGTCAACAGATATATTTTGTTTTTATTTATGTAATTATGATTACTTTAACTGATTTTTGTAATCTGTTAATATTTAAACATTGAACAAAATTTTGTATTCAATGTTTTCTTTTGGTCAACATTTTATGAAAACTGAAAAGGAAAGAAAATAAACAAACAAAAAATTTTGTACTTGAATTATACTGACATACATAATTTTTTTCCCAACAATTCACCTGCTTTCATGCTTCAGATACTCTAAAAATTGTTAGAACAATTAAAATACCAACAATTCCTGTAATAAGGTGAAAAATACTAAATAAAAATAGTTAATTAGAAGCTTGCTTCAACTTTGCTCCAAGGCATTTGATTTCTTTTTTGCTAATTGTTTAATCAAATAGCAAAAGTTCGAAGAAATGCCCAAAATGAAAAAAAAAATGATTTCCTCTTTTGAACTTTACCTTATCTTGAGTAGTTATATATATATATATATATCTCCAAGTATAGGATTGGTGTATACGGAATAAATTCCAATAACCAACAATTACTATTCTTAAAAGAGTGCTCAATACAGAGTAGAGCAAATATAATTATTTCAAAATTATAACATAAATATATAAAATCACTACAAAACTAGCCATTTTGTTTCAACACCTCTGGTGTCTTATCACTTGATAAAACACCAGAGGTATTGAAACAAAATGGCTAGTTTTGTAGTAATTTTATAACATATTTATGTTATAATTTTTAAATAAATATATATATATATATATATATATATATATATATTTATAATGTAGTTGAAGCTACCAAGGTAAGATCATTGAACAGATGACCCCAAACCAAAAAGAATGGCGAGTATACTGTCCCATGGCATTAAAGTCTCTGATCTTAGTTGTCTTCAACATCTAAGGGAGGCAAGATTAAGGACTAAACCATGCATTAAGTAAGACCTTTAGTAGCCTTGTCTCGCAATGTGGTCATGTCTGTAAGTCTCTTGTGGTACAAAAGTGTCATATTTGACATAAACACCATAATAAGTGACAATCAAATACCAAATTTTTTCACACAGAGCATCAAAAGAAACATAGGGAGACCATGGTTCCTTGTACAAAGACAAACTGAAGCTGTCAGGGAACCACTTAAGACCTTTTGAGCAGATGGCTCTGGACTGAAAAGAGTGAAGTGTATGCTGTCACATTAACATTAAAGCATTTGAATTTAAATGTTTCCAATGTCTAATGGAGTCAAGAGCAAGGACTAAACAATTTGCATTAAAACCAGTGGCCTTGCTCTTAGCTCAAAATTTTGTACTCAATGTGATCTTGTCTGTAAGTCTCTGGCAGGATGGAAATGTGATATTTGACTTAAACATCTGTCGACTAACCTATAATCTGTTGGACACATTTTAAAACTAAGAGGAGAGTCCATTATCTATCTATCTATCTATCTATCTATCTATCTATCTATCTATCTATCTATCTATCTATCTGTATATATGGCCTAAAGATTATGTTCAAGCATGAAACAGACTGTTGCTGTTCAGTGTTGAGCTTAGTGTCCACTTATATGCCTAAAAAAAAAGTTGATCAGTATATTGATGGAGGATGACTTTTTTTAGGGTAAGCAGGTTTTGCAAATAAAGTTCTCAAGAAATCAAGCATTAATAGTAAATAAATAAAAATGTTTAAAGGCTCTGAATTCTGCAGAGGTAAGTCCACTCTTCAGGGATAATGACAAATCAATTAAATATATTAACAGATATCAGATCTATTTTAAAATATATTACATAGAAGACATTAATTTCTGATGACAACTAAATTGAAAATTTTTCTATCTTAAAGACATTAATGTGATATCTGAAATTGATTACATGTAGTAGGTAATTTTATGATATCTATATCTCTCAAAAAAATCAATTGATTTATCTTATTTTTGATGAGTGGATTTATTTTTGTGCAACTGAGTTGAAAGATAATTTTAATATGTGTGTGTGTGTGTCTCTGTGTGACAGTTAAACAAGATTGGCAAAGTACTTTTGTTTTTTATATGAAAAATATACATTATCTGTTTTGTTTAACAAAATATGTATTAAAGAAGAGGGGTTTCTGCCTTATACACACACACACACATATACATACATATATAAGTTCTATCTAACCACATCAAGCACTGTTATGTTTACACCTTGATGTAAATTTGGTAAATATTTATTTGCTTACCTGTGTATACATGCACTGGTGTGCATATATGGTTGCTAATATCTAGTTATTTGATTTACCCTTATATATATATATATATATATATATATATATATAATCATAGTATTTCTTTCTCAGTTTTTAAAATTAGTCAAATTCCTTGGTGTGCAAAGAAACAATTGTCGCTAGCTCGTATGTCCTGCTTTTAGTGACTTATTTATTGTCGACAAGAGTTTTTTTCGTTAATTGTTGAGTCTTTTATAAGTGGCAGCAGGTAGATAACTTGAAAATAGTAATTCTTTCGAATAATAGTTACAAGGGGCGTAACTATTATTAGTTATGATCGAGTTACGTCCCTTTAAAAGCTCTTTTTTTTTTTTTTTTTTTTTTTTCCTCTCTCTCTCTGTCTAATTTTATTCTAAAAATGTATTTTTCGATTAAATTCATCTTGTATTTTATTTTTTAATATTTTTTTTTCCATTAAGTCTTCATTTAGGCGATTCTGATTTTTTTTTGTGTAAGTGCTCATTATTCACTCAGGAGAAACTGTGTTTCTCACTCTCCCTTTTAATTTTGTAACATTATAAGAAAATAGGATAAGCAAACATGTTTAAAAAAAAAAAAAGCAAAAAAAAAAGGGGTGGTATTTCCTCCATAAACCTCCTTTTCCTGTCTTGGTTATTTATTTGGCTACAATATTCCAAGATAAGGGAAAAATATGGAGGAATCTAAAGACTTTTTTGATGACTGTGCCTTTGAAATCTTCCCCTTGATGGCATTTTTTTTTTGTTGTCCATCTTCTTCTATGTTCCCTCCAGACTGGACACTTCTTTATCCACTTGTCCACTTCTTGATTGAAATACCCCCCCTTTTATAACCAGTTAAACAGTATTTTAATTTTTTTTTTAATTTTGAGGCATTTCAAAACCTAAAGTATTCACTTATTCAAAACGTACACTAATATTTTCTTTTGTTTGTTTAAAAAGTGTGCAACAATCTATAAATACCCAATTTTTACAAAGAAATAAAAAAAAAAAATTAATACATTGTAGAAAGCCAGTAAAATTATCATCAAATTTTCTGAACTTCTCTCTTCTTTCTTGCCGTTCTTGTCAAAATGTACCAGTCAGTTCTTTCTTTTCGATGTCACTCATTAACTTTAATTACCTTATCTCTTTTTTTTGTTCATCCTTTTCATGAGCTGTAAGAGAGATGGCAGGAAAAGACAGAAAAATTTGATAACAATTTGTGATAATGCTTCAGCTCAAAATTAGAGGAAAAAACAAAAAGAAACCTATAGAGATTTAGCTATTTTCTTTTTAAATTGTGCTTTTTTTGTCTGTGCCACTTCCTGCTCATGAATATTCCATACAGTCTGATTCTGATGATGACTATAAAAAATAAAGAAAGTTATGTTGTTGCCATAATGTCATCAAGTATAACAATACATACTAAAGATTTTTTTTTGCTATTTTTTTCTATCAATTGCCCTTGTTTCTAATTCATTTTTCCTTCAGCTTAAAATTATGGGTAATATTACAATGATCATATTTTTGGCTACTGGGATTATGAACTGACCTGTATCTCATAACTCTTGTTCAACCCTTCCAAAAATCAGTTCCACAGAAGAATGAGTTGGATTAAAGAGACCAACAGAATTACTAAAGATTTTTATTTTTGGAAACTGCAGCATAATGTACACGTTGAGATTTGGTTTTGGTCTATTCAGATTCAATAGAAAAAAAATGATCTGATAAGAACTGTTATCTCTCTGATCATATAAAACAAGTTGTACACTTTAATTTAAAAAAAAAAACAATTATTCTTACACATCTTAAACATTTACTGAACCATTGAAGTCATAATAAATGAGGATAAATTTATTTGAATTTATGCTTGTCAGTTTATATCTCGGCTCTATGTTCATATTTTAAGTTCTTCAGTGTAGCAGCTGCTGAGTGAATATCCTGATATATAAAAGCAAACACACAAAACAATTGTAAGTCAATCTGCATCCAGGTTATTTTCTCTACTGTAATGTATTCTGGCTTCTGGCTTACAACATTTCATCTCTCAAGAACTTCTCCTCTTCACTTATAAATGATCTTCCATAAATTTTATCTGAATTTCATGTTTTTATTACTAATTGAAATATGTAGATTTTGTGGATCAAATGAATAAGCAAAAATGACTAATGCACTTTTGAAATGAATTTACATTATAACAGAAAAGTTTAGCACCTCATGCAGATGGGTTCATTGCTCCTACAATTTGGAGATAATTCACTTAACCTTAATTTATGAAACTTGTCAATGTTTTAACACTCGTCAATACTATCTGATCATTTTGCTTTCCATTTAGCAGGTGATACCTTAAATTAAAATGTTTTCTAACACGGGATCCTTTTGTTAGAAAATGAAAGATCATACAAAATTAAAAAATTCTTGAGAAACCTTTTGTAGAAAAGTGATTAAAATGAATCTCTTTGTTTTATTTGTTTGAAGATCAACAGGAGCAAAAGGGGAAGTAACTCTGATGGATAACTTCATTCAACCGATACAAGTTAAAATAATTTTTTTTTTTCCTGTTGGTGACAATATGACCCCGAACGTCAGAAAAACCTCTGTGTATGCACGTGTACACCAGGTTTAAGTAGAGTCCATCCACTAACTTTGCTGTCAACACAGTCTTGAAAGATAGTTTTCGTGAATAAATGTCCACTTTTCCTTGTGAAAAAGGAAAATGCTTTGTATTTTTTTCACTGTTTAGTTGAAAATAAGATTCTGACTATAATGTACTATGTTTTATAACAGTTGTGGCACTTAGTGCATGAAATATGCAAACGTAGCAACTACTGTGCAGCAGAGGTACTAATTTACTGTTTTTCTTTTTATTTAAAACATTTTTTATTCTATTATAAATACATAAGTGAACATATTGTTCTTTGTTTTTACAGTATATCATAAAAAATGACATTTATGTTCATATCAATTAAATTTTTGTCATCAATCTCTTGGTCTTAGTGTTATTTTGTGTCAACTGACACAAACTCTGGTGGCCATCTCCAAATGTTTTTTCTTAGTTATATAACACAAAGAAGAAATACATGTGTAACAAAAACACAACACACACATGTATAACACTTAAAACTTTGTTTATTTGCTTTGTAATTTAAGAAAGACTTTTATTTACAGCATTATACTTGATGATAAAGAATGAAAAAAAATATCTTTAAGCAATTCAGAAAACTATTGCTTTGCTAATTTTGTATGGCATAGTTTTTCATTTTAATTGGATCATGGTCAGAATACAATAAAAAAAAAAAAAAAAAAAAGATTGGCAGATTTGTATATTTTCAAAGGGGACGTCTATTAGAATCATAGAAATATTATAATGAATATATATTTTTTTCCTCACTGGTAACAGACTCAATGTGCGATATTCTAGATATGGCCTGAAGATTGCATTGGAGCAGGAAACCGTCACCACTTGGTGTTGATCTAAGTGTGCACTATATATATATATATATATATATATATGAAATGAGTGTGTGCATGTCTTAAAAGAGCTAATGTTTGAACAGCTACTTAAGTTTTGGGCACTTTAAGTGAAACTTCAGTAGTTATCTGAACATTGTTTTTTTTCTAGATGTGACACTGTGAAGGCTTTTTTTTTATTTTTTTCTCTGTCTTGATTACATAGGCATAGAGTACTGTTGGTTACTGTTTAGGTAGGGGGTCTGCATTTTTCTCATTTTTAGTTTTTCATTTTCTCAATTTTCTTGTATAGGTTTTTTTTTTTCTTGGATTTTGCTATAATCATTATTAGTATTTCCTGTTTCTGTTGGTTGTACCAACTTTTGATTTTTGTGGTGTATATATAATATATATATATTTTATATTTATATAGATGGGGAAATATACTAATTGGAACTGAAGTTAATGTGTTTGCAGGCAAATGTATGAAGTGCACTGAATGTTGTCAATGTAGGCTCTGTGTCAGTTTTCTAAAATAAGCATTTCAGAAAATGGAAATTTCTTGAGCAATGCTTGTGTAGATGATTTGGGGTTGAGAACAATTAACTGAAGGCATTACATTAGAATAATCAGTATTATAAAATGTGAAAGATAGCCAACATACTCAAAATATTGAAATCAAGCATTTGGATTTGCTTGGTTATGTTAATCACTTTGATGAGTGGCTTCCACATAAGTGAAAAATTCATATTGGACTGTAATTCTGTGTGCAATTCAGTATAACAAACTGTGAATAGTGATAAAATGTGAATATTTGGCAACAGTATGGA